CAAAGGTCCTGGTTCTGAGTCGACTTCTGATAAAGAGTCTCTCGGACGATGCGACTGATGCCAGCAGTCGCCAAGCCATAGAAACCGCGAGAGCATCCGTTAGCAAGCTACGACGAAGGCTGCCCAGGAACGTCGAGAAGGTCTTTGAGAGAGCTGGCGATGAGACGGAGAGGGAAGATGTGCAAAAGGCACTTTGTGCATACAGCCTAGCAACAAGCTCTGGAGCAAGAGACGTCCTCCGCCATTTTCTCCATGTGAGAGCAGAGGCTATGGGGCTAGCATTTGAGGTGGAAGAGAATAATCGGAAGAGGAGTGCTGATGACGTTGTTCAAAGTTTGAGGCTCTATTCGAGGACCCTTCTTGATGTGCAAGCTTTAGTGCCAGGCAGGTTGTCATTGGCGCTCTCGGGTCTTAAGAGCCACCCTCTCCTAGCTGACTCCGGCCTCAGGCAGCTTGAAGGGTTACGATTAGACCTATATGAACGGTGGTGTGACGAAGAAATCCAGTACTTCACACCGTTTGTTCGACATGACGACCTGGATGGAAGCCAAGCTCGTGAGATGCTAGCAGCATGGTCCGAGAGGGGATCAGAGGTTCTCCTCGACGGACTGAAGAAAACGCTGGACACAATGTCCGAATTCAAGTCGATCATGGAGCTTCGAACAAGTGTTTTGGAGCTTTGGATTAGAGATGGCGGGAAGGCTCGAGGTATCGATCCATCAGAAATGCAGGATTCTCTCCGTGAAGCCATCAACTCACGCATGCTCGAAGTCCTCGATACAAAGGTCAACAAGCTCCGCTTAGTTGGGTCAGAGATCTCTGCAGCCCTAGGACGATGGAAAGATGGTATCACCGATGAACATGTGAGCATCTGGAACGAAGACGGTTACGATGAAGCTCTTGCGGGTGGCGCTGCCCCATTCGTGCAAGAGGTCGTGTCCCGGTTTTATGGGCGGAATGATGCTGTTTCCAAAGCAGCCCACTCTTACAAATCATGGTATCATGTCATCGATGATGTCAAGGAGGTTGTTGAACAATTGAGACGGCAGCGCTGGGATAATGACTACGACGAGATTGAGGATGAGGAGACGATCGAAGCTCGACAAAAACTCTTAAGCAAAGAAGATCCCCAGATGCTGCAAGAAAGGCTGGATGCCACGCTTGATAAGTCTTTCAAAGAGCTTGAAGATCAAATCCAAAGTCTCTGGGATGAGCGGGCCGAGTCATTGCGCAATGGTAAAGTAGCCATGTACTTCCTCCGTGTTTTACGAGATATTCGAAATCAGCTACCAGATCGCCCTTCCATCAAGAACTTTGGCCTGAAGGCTGTCCCTTCAATGCATGAGAAGGTGGCTTTGGCAGTTTCGCGGCCTACTCTGGAAGAGTTCTCCAAGCAAAGACTTTCACAGCGACTTGTGGTGGGTCGACCACTCTGGGATGGAGAGCCAGCGCTACCTAATCAGCCCTCGCCAGAGGTTTTCCAGTTCCTACGATCACTATCACTGTCTATGTCGGACGAGGGGGCTGATCTCTGGACCAAAGCTGCTGTGTCTGTGTTGAAGAAGCACCTGGCCGAGCAACTATGCAAAATGTGGGAGGCAGCCGTGGTGGAGCACTCAGTTGACGACAGGGAAGACGTCAAAGACGAGAAGTCGGGGGAGGTGGATGCAAAGGGGGATACGGAAGAAGATGATACAGAGGACGAGAATGCAGAGGAGACCGATGAAAAGAAGGCCGGTGCAGAAGAGGAGTTACCAAAGCCTGAAGATGATACCAAAGAGAAGAAACCTGGTCTCGGTGCCGAGCAGAAGACGGATGTCTTCACACAATGGCTCTTTGATATTGCCCTCTTGCGGCGTTGCATCGGCAACACAGAGTTAACAGGCAGCTCGTTCCAGAACCTCGAGGACAATGTTTACCGACATTCCAAGTTAGACGAAGCAGCAAAACACCGAATCTCCAAGTCATCCAACGACTTCTGGCAACGAGTCAGTTTATTGTTTGGTCTGCTAGCATAGGGAATACGCAACACTTGGCAATCGAAGACTATTAACAACCTACCAATTATGACACTCCTGCTGAAGACACTATCAATTAAACTGTGCTGCCCGCACCAAATAGTATGTATACGAGTGACAGTACATTTTCATAGAGCATTGTGACGTGTCCGCCTATCACATACGACCACAGCTCGGAGAGAACACGGGGTCCCGTCTGGGTTTTGTCTTCTGTTCGAGGGTGACTGTTTTTCGCCGCCTCTGTCTCCGAAAATGGAGACATGGGACAATGTTCTCTCGTCTGAATGAGTGAAATTTAGGTTAAGGCAGACCGGGATAAGGAGGACGAGATGGATCTGCGGCGAGGCAGTAGTCGGGATAATATCGATATTCGGATTTTGGAGCTTATTACAAGCTATAGTTTCACACGAACCATCAAAAAGAACTTATATTATTATGTGTTGTTTTTCCTGTCTGGCTGGAAAACGCTGGGTGGCCTCGATATGTGATTGACGATAACACAACCAGTGATTTATTGGCACTTGCCAACTGGGCTAAAAAGACCAAAATATTCTATGACCTCAGTTCACGGATACATCATGTTCAAGTGTAGAAGCTGAACTTTCTCTCTGATGCCAAGTGCTCATCATAGGTCAACCATTGTATACTACAACCGAATTCGGATAAGAGCTATGGAAAGAGAAGTGGAGAGATTCAGATGCAATTTATACATGCGGAAGGTCACACAGTGTATTTCACTGTGTCAATGCTGTATCAAGCACTGTACGAAGACGTCTCGTTGAGCTCGGTTTAATGCTGCATAGGTAAGGTTTAAAATCAGCATTGTGTGATTAAAAGTGTAGATTTTTTGAGTAAGCTTTTGCGAAAATCTAGCCTCCCAAGATAACTTTTCAGCTGTGGTTGAACTTGCCTGGGGTCAAAAATCCTAATTAGCAATTCTCCGTGAAGTGGTCAGCAGAGACAGAAGCAGAGAAAATTTACCGTATATAGTTTGCAAAACTACAGCTCTTTCTAGTATATATAACTAAAGGTAGTGGAAAATAAGCAGTCCTTAGCTTAGCTTAGCAGCGTAACTTGTGAGTTGGGTGAAGAAAAGACACAGAATCATTCCCCCCCCTTGCTGTCAGGCTTATTATATGAGGCCATCAAGCTTTTAACTTTCCAAAACAAAGGCTTAAACAATGAGGCCCCTATAGTAGGCCAGTATCTCAAAGGTCAATATCTCATAACGTTTATCTGCCTCAGTGGCGCAATTGCTGCCTTGACCAAAAGACACAGAATCATAAGGCGAGAAAGCACGTGTCCGAGTCGAGTCTTATGGCTTCGCGTTGTCTTGTCTGGTATAGACAATAAAGCGCAAGTCATCACAGCTTGTGTCGCTTGGCACCGCTCGCAAGCTTTGCAAACTCCTCCTGGGGTACACCCGTCATGAATCTCTCCAGCCCAGCAAAAACCTCATGGACATTCTGTGTATGCAGAATATCCAGCTCAGGCTTCCTGACCAGCTTCTTGATTCCGATCAAGCTATCCCCGATAAGATGGTCTCCCAGCCTCTCGTCAACCTCTTGCAACACTCTAGTCCTGAACTTGACATCATCGCCCTCGTCAAAGATGGCATTGACAAATCCACAGCGCTCAAGATCCTGAGATCCAATGCGGCGACTCATGAGCAATGCTTCGTTCGCTCGTGCAGGTCCGAGACGCAGTGCGAGTGCTCGCGATGCACCACCCTCAGCAACAAGGCCAATAGAGGAGAAAGGTGTGAGGAGAAAGGTCGACGGCGCGCAGTAGATAAAGTCAGCAAATGCAACGAGCGCAGCTGTAAGGCCTACAACAGGGCCATTGAGGCCAACGACGAGAACCTTGGGATGAGTTGCAAATGCATGGGTGATGTTGAGGTTTTGAGCGACAAAGCCCTGCAAGACTTGCTTATGGACTGCCTTCCCGTCTCCGGCTATCTCTCGAGAGACTCCCACGTCAGCTCCTCTGCGAACAGTCAGTTATGTGCATGCATATATTGGTTGTCCGTCATTTAGAAGACACAGTGGAGGGTTCTCACGCTGAAAAGTATCGACCCTTTGCCAAAATCACCGTAGTGAAAACCTCGTCATGGGTAGCAATCTCTCGCATCTTCTGAGCGAGATCATAGTATTGTGCTGAGTTGAAGGCGTTGAGTTTCTGTTCATTACAAATGGTCAAAACGGCTACACGGCCACGATATTCGAGTTGCAGGGTAGACTCTTCTGCCATATTGAAAGCTGTAGACTGTAGTGTAGAGGATCTGAGAGGAGGATATTCGAAATGAAGATACCAGATGAATGGAGGAGAAGAGACTTGTAGGTTTGATGATGAAGAGGATAAACAGGAGAAGTTGAGTTGACTTCTTGTTCTCTCCGACCTTGGGTATTTTACTTACATGGGTGATTGAGTTACCCCGGATCTTGTCTCCCTACTCGGTTGGCGTACCGAGATGCCTCGGCATGGGAGGCGGAGATGTTGCCAGAGCCAAGTCTGCAGGGAGATCGATTACTGGACATAGAACGAATACTTGGCTGAACTTGACTGTGCAACAGATCGTAGGAAGATTGATAACTGATTTGCATAATGCCCGAGTTATCACACAGCATTCATCAGGCTCTAAATACCTTGAATTTGCTGTCTACAGCTCAGGTGAGCTAGGAGCATGCTGAAATATCCCGGACCAATCACGAGACAGCCAAAAGTGTCTCGATTAAACAAGTATATATAACGTATATGAATAATCCATTCGAACTACGTTATCTTGGTAGGCAATGAATTACTGAAGCCCAAGGTACGTTGACATCCCCGGTCCATCCGCAAAACTCCTTTGCCGAAAGATTCAGCATGCAATTTCCTTTCAATCATCACAATAACCACCCGCTCACGCTGTCCCTTCGCACTCTTCCTCTTAAATAATCATTCTTCTTCGCACCTGCGGGCCCATCCGTTCAATGGCCGTTCCTATCGGCGTTTCGGGGCAAATTGCCTCTGCTTGGGGAAGCTCAATGGCAGCGTTAGACGGGCTACGCTAACCTGTTGTTTCGTATCCTTGTTTATAACATGCTTCATACGACCACCAATCTCCTGGAAGTAGGCATTCATGGTCTTCTGGTCGATCTTCAGATCGTCACGTAGGTTCTGTGTGTCAACCTCAAAGTTGTCGATGATGCTTGCGAAAACACAGCAATGTGTTATCAGCAGATCCACGTGGAACTTGCGCATTTCGCCACGGTCAGAGAACTTGCGGCGAATACTCTCAATCACGGCCTCGGGGGCAGGAGCAAGGAACTCTCTAAGTTTCTCTCGTGGTGCGATAGTTCGGGTGCCCCGGGCCTTGCCAGGCTTGCTGTGGAGATAAAAAAGAAGCACGAAGTAGAAGTAACGTAATACACGAAGTCGATCCACGGCCTCCTCGTTGCCTGCCACGCGGTTCACCCGAGCGGCGACAAAGCGTGATGATACCTGAATGCTCTCCTTGTGTTGTACCTTCTCTTGCCATTCTCGAACGGGAACCAGCTTGAGGATGTCGGCTCCGATGATCTTCTTGGGATCGTAAACGTCTTGGATCTCGGTCGCTTCCATGTTGGCAATGGGCACAGGCTTGGCGGCATCCACAACCGCTTGTAACTCCTCTCTCGATGACATGGTCGACGTGACTTCTCCGACAGAGTTGAGCATAGCACGTGCTGCTGCATCAATCTTGGCAGGCTCTTCCCCGGCATTCTTTTGCGGTGCAATAGCGTTCAAGACGTTCTCTTGAATGGCCTTCTTGGCCTTCTTGGTACCAAATGTCTGGCCGAGGTCTGTCTTGAGCTGTAGCAGTGTCTGTACTTCGTTAGAATATTGCCCTTCTAGAGGAGATGGATGTAGGCGTACCTGGGTATTATCGCGCTGACCAGAAGTGACAGCGGCGCCCTGCCTTGCTCGTACTGAAGCCCGCATTGTCATCTTCTTCGCCTCGACCACCTCGAGTTTTCCTGTCTTGGGGTCGTAGATTCCGAGGAAGTGATTCAAAGCTGGCTTTTTCCCTCTTGGCTCGTCCGATTTGACCGTGTAATCCATAGATCGATGCGCATTCGAGTGCAGCAGGAAATCCTTTTCGGCAGCCGATTCAGGCTGCTTGCTTTTTGACTTGGCGCCATTCTTGGGCGCATATGAGTGAAAGGGAATGCTCGTTGGTACTTGGAACCCAACAGCCGTCGCTATTCGAGATCAGTCAATATCTGTCGCAGCGCGCCCAAGCAGAGGTGGTGGTTGCTACCTATCACAGGAGGGCAGAACTTGGGTCTGAGGACGGAGGAGACGGTCGCTGATAAAGGAGGCGCATCAATAACGACCTTCTTCTTTGGCTTCGTCGACTCTCCGCTTCTCTTGCGCTTTTCACTCCCCATTTTGGATGGCCGATTATCGATTTCGTATGTAATCTTGAGTACAGGTACTGATGATATAGACAAGGTCTTAGAAATTTTTTGACTCTCAACGGCAGAAAGAGAGGGTCCGCCGTTTAGCCGGCCGGACAGGGAAGGCGGTGAAAGGCGAGAACGTAACTCGCAGCTGCATCGAGATATGTGGAAGAATTGAGTTCAGGAATGAATGTATAAGAGCCGCATGGAAGAGCTTCAGAGTGGCGATCTCATAAATTATCTTATGCAATTCAATTGATGGTTGATGCATTTCGCTGAGCTCCAGTATCACCAAATTTCCATATCTTCAGCATTCCATCCCACCCAGTAGGTACCCAGCTCCACAGAGGTTAAGCGCTACTCTTTTTGTGACGTCGAGCTGAATGCGACAGAGCATCACGCACAACACATCGTCAATTTTAAAATTAGGAATGGCGAAATCAATCGCATTGAAAGAACTGGAATCAAGATGTAACAAGTAGAGCAATTGGCCTGGAGACTGAAAAACTTGCAAAAAATGGCCAACAGCTAGCGCGTGACACGGCTTGGTCGACCTCCAGCTCGAGGCTAATTAGTGTCACGAGGGCACAATCACGGAACACACAAATGGTCAGAGTAACACTCCGTATTTCTTTGTCTTAGAACTGCCATTCAAGTTCTGATTGCATCGTCTTTTGCGAGCATGACTGATGGTCTTTGATCCGAACACCGCCTGGTTCCTGACCGTCCAGTTGTCATAATTCCCTTCCCCGTAATGTTCATTGTGTGCCCAACAGCCGCTCAAGTGCGGGGTTCCACCACCGTGACGTAGTTCCCAAAGTCAAATCCCAGCTCATAACGTTGCGGGACATCCCAGGGGCGCCAAGGTAGCGTTCGCAACTTCGGCCAGAGTATCGTTGTGCGTGTGAAGTCGTAACATCATGAGAGATGAGTCAAGTCAGGTTGAGGTGCGAGGTGTTTATTTGCTGCGAAAACGGTTAGCTCTTGTCAACATGTTGATGACAGGGATGCAACTTACGATCGAGCCCTCATCTTTCTTCTCTTGCGCTTGAGGCGGCGAACCCGCTTCTTCCTCCATTTGGCTCTCATCTTGATTGACGATGCTGTTGGAAGACGTTAGCAGCTGTGGTGCGCATGCGAAATGCCGCGAACAAGACAAGTAACTTGCGGTGGCATGAGCCCAAGCTCAATGCCTGCAAGCTACAAGCTGTTGGCCAGGGTCGGGTCGCGTAAGCTTACTCTTTCGTGGATGAGAATCGTGTTGGGATAAGGAACAAACTTCTGAAGCTTGGAGGGCAGAATTACGATTTTGTGTATGCAACCCCATCTAGAGCACGTGACCGAACCCCATCGTTCCTTCCATCTCACGGTTGGAGGGCCCCACCAAAAAGTTGGGTGGTGGGCGACGACCTGAGAAGAGAAGGGTTCAGTGCCAATTGAGTGGGGCACTGTCCGGCGCATACAGTGCCAGTGCCAGGCCGACCATTGAAGCAGAAAGCAGGGAAGGAAGGAGGCAAGGAACGGCTGCAATTGTTCAACTGCGACAATAGGAACTGGAACCGACGAGAAAATTAGCCACTAAGGCAACTGAAGAATTTACAGTACCTTACTCAACCACCATCGCCATCTAAACCAACGATTTCGTGATCTTGCTACACAAATCTTACTGCGCCAACTAATCCAGCACTTAACTTACACTACACGTACAAGCTGATGAACCAGATTCAAAATCTGTGAGCCTCAATATGGAAGAGGATACGACTCGTGCGTCGCAGGAAATTCCAGCTGCATATCTTCATCTAGTAGACACCAGAAGCGAACACAAATCTCAGCGTACGCTCTTCCTGCCCTGCCCTTAAGATCTCATATGGTCTCCACCTCTTCTGGCTCTTTCTAACCTGCTTCTCAGAGCTGTTTCCAGTGTGGGAACGAGAAATCTTCAAGATCGGGCGAGACCCTCGTGCAAAGTGAGCAAATTTCCACATGAAATGTATTTCACACAAGCTCACACACACACAGCACGCTGGCTGTCGACAATGACCTCGACGTCTCAGTTTCTCGAAACCACTGTGAAGTGTATGTCGTGGTGTATGAGCCAACTATCAACCATGTCTACGTGCGGGACCGAAAGTCTTCAAACGGCACCTTTGTCAATGGCCAACTCATTGGTTGTGGTCCGGATATAAGCCCCGGCTACCTACTACAGAGCGGCGATGTGATCGAAATTCGACCATACTAGAAGTTTACAGTCCTACAAGATCAGCCACCTCCTCGCCATGAGTTAACTTCCTTACAAATGGAGGAATGCAAGGTTGGCCTGAATGATCCCTCTTACCAGCCGGGGTCTGAAACTAACTGTCCTAGTTGTTTGCAAGCAAGTATCACGTCAGTAGCCATTGCCTGGGGCAAGGAGCGGAAGCAGTCGTCTGCCTGGCAAGCGATGTCCAGACGAAGAAGCAGTTAGTTTGCAAGTTGATTAATCTCGACAAGATCCAAGGGAAGAATTCTCAAGAGGATATCCGTCGCAAGTTTCAGGAAGCCGACATCTTACGCCAGCTGAGACATGTAAGTCGACTCGCGCTGGTACCGCCAGTTTCGCTAATCTGTAATAGCCTAACATCCTTCCTTACGTGGATGCTATCTCATCACCACACTCACTGTAAGTAAGATATGTATATATTTGCAGAAACATGAACTGATGATCCTAGCTATACTTTTACAGAACTTGCATCTGGTGGTGATCTCATGTCATTCATTCTACGCCATGGCACAGTCAAGGAACTCGACTCACGGATCATTATACGTCAAGTTGTCCGTGGTCTTGGCTATCTCCACGAGAAAGACATTGTCCACCGTGATCTAAAACCAGAGAATATTCTCTTGGCATACTCACCTAAGATTGCGTATCATCGAGTCATGCTTTCAGACTTTGGCAATTCTGCCGTTCCTCGACGCAGCAGAATGATCACAAACGCTGGAACACCAGGATACCAAGCACCGTACGTCAATTGGTTCGCAATTAAGCCACTTGCTAATAAGTTTCAAAGGGAGTTCGCGGCGGGTGGGCAAGCTCACACTGCGGCTGTCGACATCTGGTCCTTAGGTGTTGTTGCATTGCTCCTCCTCGCATCTGATAACCACGACAGAGAGCTCAACAAGATGGAACAAGGAGACATAATCGAATATCTCACCAGGTTATTCAATGGAATGCAGACAAAACCCTCTTTCGAAGGGATTGAGTTCGTCTGGAACTGTCTGAAAGTCGACCCATTACAGAGAATCAATGCTTATGGTGCGAAGACGCATGCATGGCTTTGTCCTCCGAAGAATCGGGAACTGTTCAAACGAATGGATTCTCGAACACTGGCTTCTTGGAAACCTCAAGATAAGCTCAAACCGATGCCTTGGGTGTTACCTGATCTTGCACCGAGCAATCCACCCACACCTACAAGAAGCCCAGGCTCATCAATCAGCCAATACTTCACTACGACACCTACGCGCTTTGAAACTACAACCACAAAGTCTAGAGACCGCGTTCTGGAGATAGCCGCAGAATCTGGCCCAGAAACTGCCACTAGCAAGACTATCTCGTCTTTCTCGGTGCCACCGCGTCCATGCGGCACTCTACGAGAGTCTACCACAAATCTCAAGAAGCCTCAACCTCCTTGGCAAGGGTTTCGTAGCCCTAACAGTTCAGCGAACACTGAACTCCCTTCAAAACGCAGGAGAGTCCCAAGAGCCAGGACTCATGATACTGCGAATGTTCCCCTACCTGGGCTACAGAGGCATTTAAGATCACCTAACAATCCCAATCCTCGTTATAGGCAAAACGTTCTTTCGGCTCTCGAGAGGACCAAGTCAAAGTTCCTCACAGACAGCATCTCTCCTGTTTCGAGAACTCCTCTAGATGCTCTCGCTGGCAATGCATTTGTTCCACCACCAAGCCCTAAGAAACGGAAGAGCAAGCGTGATGTGAGGCTAAAAGGAATCGGGCGTAGCCAATATAAGGCACCCACCTCAGCTCGCATTCCGCTGAAGATGGTCAGGAAATAGTGGAAAATGAAGGGATATGTTTAGGTCTGTGGGGTTACTTTGGTGCTTCACTACTTTCTTCTATGCGAATTTCATGGGAAAGGAAACATCGGGAATCACAACCTCACTCAAGTGCATCAACTACACAACTGAGGGAGACTGGGTTCATAGATTTGGGCGGATGGGATTGCGGATTCTGACTGGGAAATTGTCTATGGCCCCAGATGGCACTGGCTCTTTTGATTGATGACTGGGAAAGGCTGACATGGGATAGATAGGGGTATTTACCAAGAATGAATGGATGCGTGTCGCCCTTTTCGCTTTAATATGCATTTGTTTTCCTTTTGGCGGATCCTTTCAAGATGTGTTGCCACTTTTGAGGCAACTCCTCTTCACCACGATTATTGCTTGGGTTATTTCCGACCTCAGGCCACACTGGCAAGGCCTGGATGCCCTCTGTCCGACCTTTATTCGCCAGCCTCTCCAACCACCATTCTAACTCCACCTGTTCAATGTGACCGGTTTCTTGACCCCTAGCAAACCACCAACGCACTGCAACAGGGTGGGTAAAGTCCTTGACTAAACAAGGGTCTCCATGGCGTCTACATCGCTCGCAGGCGGGTGAATAGTTCATGTTTCGCGAGCACCGTTTCCCTTTGACTTGACACTGAAGACAAATAACCCCCTCGGTATTCCTCACGGCAATGCGAGGACGTAGGCGGCAAAAAGCGTTGACGAGATTCACTGGGAACCCTTCCACGTACGTTGGAGGATCTCCCCGGACGTCTTCGAGCACGGCCTTGGAGAGTTGATACCCCTGAATGCGGTCCTCGAGAGTTTCCATCCGTTTTCTATGGTCCTCTACTGTTTCTCCTATTGCACGCTCAAGGACAGAGCCTGTGGCTTCTCTATCAATCACACCATTGACGAAAGCTTCGACATCTTCCCTGGAAGGA